TAAATATCTTTTTGTTTTCCGATGGTCTTAGGCGACCCCTGTGAAAGGGTCGTTCGACCCCCAAAGGGGTCGCGACCCACAGGTTGAGAACCACTGGGATACATGATAGTGAAAACCTAGGTGTTATCTGCTAGCCTAAGGCCATATGTAGAGGTACTTAAGACAGCACTTGGCAAACATTCACTTTCAGGGAATAGAATTTAAAGATGTATTTCTTATGAGAATGGGCAGGGAATGTGTGTCTGGTGGTATATCCGAGTGTTTCAGGCTGTACATGTTTGCTCTTTGCAAAGCAGTCTCCTTCAAAAGGATTTAGAAGAGAGAAAAGTTAAGTATGGGTAGGAGAGTGTTTTTACATAGAATAACTTAGAAGACATTATAAGTAAATGAAGGGAAAATTTTATCAGTAAGTTATATAGCCAGCATAATTACAGGCATGGATACAATAAGTCAATCCATGATTAAATATGGTGGATATAATTGGAACATAAAGGCACAAATAGCATGATGTCAGAGGACTGGCAAGTGAAAAGAGGCAGGGTCTGGAGGTAGAAAATGATTCTGAATGAAATGTGTGAAAAGATCATATGTAGGCCCAGCTCCTCTCTCCATTTTCACCTTACCCTGTGTGAATAGACGTGTAATGTCATAATGGTGGGTAAATGTACCCTGGACAGAAACATATCTTGAATCAATTGGAAGAGGGAAGGCTCTGGGGATCAAGAAAGTCTTAAATTCTAGGAGAAGTGTTTTGTTTATAAAGGACATAGGCAAAGATTTAAACATGAGTTTTAAGGAAGGAAGTAATACCATGGTGGTTGGGGCCAAGCTTTCATTTCCTCTCCTGTTGAAGGTTGCTTGTCATCCAAAAGCCTTTCAAAACTAAATAGTGGCTGCAAGCCTCTACAAAACTTCATTTTCCTAGTCTCTCAGGCTGCCACTCCTGGTTTAAGAGAACTGTCATCATTGTCTTGGAGTAGAAAGAGTCCCTTATTTTTGGAGGAATTTATTCCACTCCCCAAACATACTATTGTAGTGTTTTGCCCAGCAAGTGTTGCTGAATTGTAAACTGAGGTAATCAACCTAGTCTCCTCCTTGCATTTACTATTTTGAAGGTAAGAATGTTAAATAATTTAACCTGCTGCTAATACCTCTTTCTGTCTTCTATGTCCTCGTGACCTTAAGTGGGCGCCTGTTTTCTTTTTATAGTTAGTGTTTTCCTTTGCTTAGCTTCCAGAAGCAAAGATGGGGAACTCTGCTTTTACCTGAACTTTGTGACATTTGACAAATGATTCCCTTAGTTGTGGCTTTGTTTTCCCATCTCTAAAATGGGAGTGGTAATATCCAGTGCAGAGAAGGTGGCTGTGGACATCTTGTGAAATACTTCAAGTTAGCAACAATATCTTACTCAAAAATAGTACTAGTGATAATGAATCCAAAGCCTTTTTCAGTACTCTTGGCACTCCTTGGGACTTTTCTTAGTTTGAAAGAAAGGAAAATTATTTAAACAACTAGAACTGTCTGTCTTTGGATAGTATGTGAAGATTTTAGGGAGGAGTTCAAGTTGGATTCTCGATAGTTAAGTTTTAATGTATTGTATTCAATGTATTGAAATTTTACCATCAATAATTTTAACAAATTATTCAGTAGGAAAAGTATGCCACAACTATTTATATTCTAAAATAACCTATTAATATGTATCTGCAGTTTAGAAGCTGCTTTTCTCTTGGCTGGTCAGTATTCACCAGCATTTAACTAAGTGTACACAAATGCTAAAAAACCAGGTCATTTCCAAGGTAACTGGCTTGGGGCTATAATATTGAAATCTCTGCTGAGGCAGTGGGTCATCCTGTGTGATAAAAGCAACTGAGATAATTTTGTAAACTTTTCTGTAGCTTGATTCCTGGGGTGGGAATTGCCCTGTGCTGTGGACTGACACTTGAACTAGGAGGCCAATAAGCACAGGAATAACAGCAAAAATGGCCAGCCTACATTTTAATCATTAGTAACATTAGCATGGTAATNTACCAACATGGGCCAGTGAAGCAATGTCCTCCACAACTAGACTGAAGAACAAAAGAACAGCAACTTGTCTGTTCCCCTCCCCCAACTCCCCAATAAAATCTTTCAAAAAAAAAAAAAGGTTTTATTGGGGAATTGGGGAAGGGGAACAGCCAAGTTGTTGTCCTTCAATCTTAGTTGTGGAGGGTGCAGTTAGCTCAGTCCAAGTCGTCACCATCCAACCACCCCTCAGCAACTTGCAGCCGCTCAGCTCAAGGTGCCATGTTCAATCTTAGTTGCGGGTGAGTGTAGCCCACCATCCCATGTGGGAGTTGAACCGGCAACCTTGTTGTTAGGAGCATGTTTTCTCACCAGCTGAGCCATCCTGCCACCTGTAGGCAGCTAGCTCAGCAGCAGCTCAGCTCAGACGCAGCTCACTGGCCCATGTGGGAATCGAACCTGCAGCCCTGTTGCTCAGAGCTTGCACGCTTAACCAACTGAGCCACTCAGCCGGCCTGTAATTGTGAATTTTTAAACTTCCAAATGAATCTTCAATCCAAGGAAATAAAATAGAACGAAGATTCATTTGGAAGTTTAAAAGTGAGCTCTGATGAGGTGCATTCCGAGATAGTTCCTGGGATGTCAAGGTGAAGTGCACCAACCTCAAGGATGTACCTGCAGCCTCTGACATGGGCAGAGGAGACCAGAATCCAAGCACAGCCTGGCATGAGCCTCGAGATTCTCAAAGGAATTCCAGACTCTCTCTTGCCCAATGGTCTCGTGGGTCATCCAGGGCATTGTGAGGCAAGACAGAACTGGAACAACTGGCTCAAAAAAAGGAGGTTTACCCTCTCTGTGCATTTGTCTGAAGGGATAGGCCTGATCAAGTTAAGATGGGATTGCCTTTCCCAGGGTGGGATTAGGGGCTAGTGGAAGTGCTGACTTGTGATGGCGGAGGATCCTGTCTCAATCTGGTCACTGGTTTCTGATTCAGCTTGGAAAACAAATCCAAGTCTTCTTGGAGGCAGAACTTTAGATGGGCCAACAGAGCTTCTGGAGGTATGAGGCCTGAAGCCTAAAAGGACCAGCAGGTAACCCGGCACTACAGCCTGAGGCTGGCCAGCCACAACAAGCAAAAGGATGCTGCTTCTTCACAGGGGTTTTTTCTTTTCCTTTTTCTCTTTTCTCTTCTTTTTTTTTTTTTTTTTGCCTGAGGCTGGAACTCAAATTCCTACAGGATCTTCTAACAATAAAGGCAAGGGCATCCTGAAGAAGCCCCCTGGTCTGGTGCCCACTGCCAGCCCTAACTGTACTGAGAAGCCAAGGGTCACTCTCTTCTCTATGGTTCAGAATTTTACCCCATCTGCCCTCATGAAGACACAACCCTGGCCCCAGGGGAAAGCAGGCAGTGGCAGTTTCCTGTTCCAGTAACCAGCTTAGGTCTGCATGGGAGATGTAAGAAAAATAAATTACGGGGTGAGGCCTATTTTATAAAGCACAAAAGACAATGTGTCTGGCAGGTGGTGAGACTCTAAAGGGAGGCGAGGTCGCAGCAGCTAAGGGAAAGGTGACTGAGGGGCTGTTGCGGTTAGGGCAAAAGAGAGGGTCAGGCAAGGGAGGAGGCCAGCGGAGGGAGGGGGGAGACTGAATGGAGAATAGAGTCTCAGGGCTCCTCAGGGGTGGGGAGAGGGCGACCAAAGACCGGGCGCGGGGCTGGGGGAGCCGGGCTGGTAGTGTCCGGCTGGGCAGGTTCTCAGTAGGGGGTAAGTCTGGCCCAGCAGGCGTGAATTCTGTGTGGTACTCCCCCTAGAGGGAATGTGGGGAGAAGGTCCTGCCTCCTCCCATACTGTCCAGCCCGTGGCGCCGGGACTCGGTGTGTGATAGGTTCAGGGAAACGTGCGGCGCTCGAAGGGAGATAACCAGTGGCGCCTACCGGGTAAAGGGGTATGCTGGGAGGGATTCCTTCTCCCAGCGGGGTTAATCGTGCTCACATCTGGGTGCCTGAGGATAAGCGGGCGGGGGTCCAAGATCGGCGGCTAGAACCCAGATTCTTCCGGCCCCAGGTCACTCACCTCCAGCGGCCGCCAGACGACCGTTGGAAACCCGCGGACAGCCGCTAAACAACAGCCCCGAACTCTCCTCGGAGCTCTAAACTCCGCCCCTCCGGTCCGGCAGCGTCTCCGTGGCGACGCACTGAGAAGTGCGGCTGCGCAAGAGTGACGGAGCGCGGGCGAAGGGGAGGGGGTGTTTTGGTTCTAGCCGCTTGCCGTCCTTTCCCCACTCGATCGTCGGGAAGCTTTTCATTCTGGCTTTCCCTTCCCCTTCCTTTTCCCTTTCCCAGCCCCAGTCATCCCTCCCTCCTTCCCTTCTGCCTTCCTCCCCTATTTGTACTGCCGCCCCGGGTCCGGGCCATCTTCCGGGCCGGGCACACTAAGGTGCGCGGCCCCGGGGCCCAGTATATGACCCGCCGTCCTGCTACCCCTCGCTTCCCCCGCCCCATGTGGCTGCGGGGCTGTGGCGGCGCTGCCCACTATGGCCCGGAAAGCAGTTAGCAGGAAGCGGAAAGCGCCAGCCTCGCCGGGAGTTGGGAGTGACGCTCAGGGCCCGCAGGTGAGAGCTGAAAGGCTGGGACTCGGGTGATAAGGCCAAGGCACCTGGAGGGGTATACAGTTTGGAGATCAGGGAACCGGGATCCAAGGTCTGTAGTGAGAGGTGGGGGGTGGGGCAAAAGCGGAGCCCCGGTTTATAGGCTCAGGACTGGGCCATCAGGAGTTAACTGAAGAGCAGATAGGCCGGAGGGTTGAGGAGCTAAAGAGGAACTTGAAAATGGGGCATATTCCGCTGAAGGCCTGCATCCTGGAATGGGGCTGGAGGAGAAACTAGAATCTGGGCTTTGGAGGAAGGGAAACCTCACAGAAGATACGGGGAGGGAGATTCAAGTCCGCCTTACAGGGGCCTCCTGGGAAGCGGGGATTGCGTCTAGGATAGGAAGGAGCCTCCCTATGGATACCCAAACCCTGAGCTGGTACTTGGACCCCTAGAAGAAACAGCAGTTCCCAGGTATTATCCCTATACACCCTCTTTGGAGGGGAAGACCTTGTTGGATGAGTATTCGGACTCTTGATTTCCTGTGCCTCCCACCCCGTTGGTGTTTGATTTTTCGAATTCTCCAACTGCCCGGAGCGCGGGCCTGGTGACAGGGGGGCGGCCATTGATGGTGCATCTTGGACGACCTGGGACCCCAGCCTGGCTCCTTGGACTGCGTCCTCCATGCCCCGCAGGAAGCACAGGCTGAAAGGGAGAAAGGGGCAGGGTAGAGATGGAGCCCAGGTCGGTGTTGGTAATCATTCGACCACTCTTTCCCTATCAATGATAACTTTAGGGGATCTGAATCTTTCACTCTTAAAGGCCTGGTAAACCTTTGTTCTCTGCTTCCATTCCACTGTCTTTCATCCGTTTCTCATAGGTAGGTTTGACTGTGAGCAACATCTTTTCAATGTTGGAAGAGTTAAACTGAGCTGTCTGGGTTGAGATTCCTGTTCTAATGTATTTGTATTTCTTTTGTATGTAAATCCTGCAGGATGAGTTCTTGGTGATATCTCTAATACAGTAGGGTCCCTTGTTCTGAACAAAGGTTGTCAAAGCCCTAATTTCTAATGTTGCTTTCCACAGTTTGGCTGGGATCACTCCCTTCACAAAAGGAAAAGACTCCCCCCAGTGAAGAGATCTTTAGTGTACTACCTGAAGAATCGGGAAGTCAGGCTACAGAATGAAACCAGCTACTCTCGAGTGTTACATGGTTATGCAGCACAGCAACTTCCCAGTCTCCTGAAGGAGAGAGAGTTTCACCTTGGGACCCTTAATAAAGTGTTTGCGTCTCAGTGGCTGAATCATAGGCAAGTGGTGTGTGGCACAAAATGCAACACGGTAAGTGGGGGGGGGATGTGAACTTTCTCCTAGGTCCCGGATATATGGCTCCACATGCTCTAGAACTTCTCATTGCTCGTTTTCTCCATCAGTTTCTCTTGCAAGATTGCCTTACTTTCCATTCCCTTCTGTTGATGACATCTTCCTCTCTTTCTCTGCTCCTTTTCCCACTTCTACATTTTTTCCTGGTATACCTTCAGAGGAGTCTTATTTCTTTAAGCCTCTTGCCATGTGGAAATGCCACTGCTTCTGGAGTTCTTTTGGCTTCACCTTTTTATGTTGCTTTTTAAGTTAAAGGCCTCAGAGAAAAGACTTAGGAAACAGTGATGCTCAGGGCATTATTCAGGATACATCAGCGGTTCTCAACCTTCCTAATGCCGCGACCCCTTAATACAGTTCCTCATGTTGTGGTGACCCCCAACCATAAAATTATTTTCATTGCTACACTGTAACTGTAAGTTTGCTACTGTTATGAACCGTAATGTAAATATCTTTTTGTTTTCCGATGGTCTTAGGCGACCCCTGTGAAAGGGTCGTTCGACCCCCAAAGGGGT